TGACAAATGAGAAAATATTTGAACAGGACCATTAACCTTTTTTTGTACAAATACATTGATAATAGCCTTTTTTAACAACTTATTAATAATAAAAAATTGTTTAAACAATCCGCGGCGAGTTCCGATACTTCGCCGGCAAGCTCGACCCCCACTTTCTGTGCCCAAGCCTGTAGCTTATAATTTTCAAGCATCGTTTATATAATTGGAACTATAATAGCTCAGTGGTTAGAGCCCCGACCTTTTATTTTGCTGGGCAGGGTTCGATCCCAGTCATAGGCAATTTTTTTTTCTGTTTCTTGTTCAAGTGACTTTATATACTTATAAATCAATTCATATATTTTATTACATTATTCTTCCAATTAATTACGAAAAAAAACTTGTTTTTCTGAAAATAAGCTGAGGGTGAGGAACGAGTTACTATGAATTCTCTTTTTTAGAAAATGTTGTCTTTAAAAGACACTATGAATTGATTTTGAACTTCTACAAACAACCAATTATTGTATTTATATAAAATTTTAATGAAAAAAAAAATTGGCTATAACTGGGATCGAACCCTAATCGGTAAAATGAAAGCTTGGTGTTCTACCTACAGAGCTAACATATTATCTCTGACATCATGTTTATGTTTATAAATTGTATAATGCAGGCTTGAGTACGAAGGGTAGGGATAGAGTTTGCCGGCGAAGTGCCGGAAATCCCCGTGGATTATTTCAACTACTTCTAAATATTTCTAAATTGCTTAAAAAAAAGCTACGTTCATATAGCTATAGTAAAAAAAGTGTTTATAACCCTGTTCATATGTTTTCCGACTCGACGTTGATAAATTACATAAATAATTGAGAAAAAAAAATCAAATCGTTGGTAAGAATTCATTTTAGCATGTTAATATTATAATTACATGCAAATCTAACAAATGAAAAAGAAAAAAAAAACTTTACCATGACTGGAATCGAACCCTGCCCATCAAAATAAATGACCGATGCGTTAACCACCGAGCTATTATGATTACAAAACATTTATATATGCTCAAAAATTATAAGCTGCAGGCTTGGGCATAGAGAGTGGGGGTAGAGCTTGCCAGCGAAGTGCCGGAACTCGCCACGGATTGTTTAAACTACTTTTCAATGTTGATAATAATATGATTAACTTGTTAATAACATAACATTGTTAATACATGTAAAGATGTATAAGTTGTTAAACACAGGCTATTATCAATGTATTTATACAAAAAGAAAGTTTATGGCTCTGTTCAAATATTTTTCGACTTAGCGTCAATAAATTCAATGAATAAAGAGAAAAAAAAATCAAATTGTTATAAAAGATTAATTATAGCATGTCAATATTATAATTACATGCTAATCTAACGAATAAAGTAGAAAAAAAAAATTGGTTATGACTGGGATCGAACCCTGCCCGGCAAAATAGAACTCTGACGCCCTAACCACATGGCCAGCATAATCTCGATATTGAGTTAATGTATATTTGTTTTTATACTACATGCTTGGATACGCCGACTTGGAATTGAGCTTCCTTATTAACATTTATACCTAATAAAAATGATAATAATGGATGAATATATGTATTTGAAGTTATTTGCAGGTATTATATTAATTAATGTTAAATGAGTATCATCATTTTTTTTTATCCTAACTGCAATAGTCATCAAAGTGTAGGGCATTGTAAAGTGATACACTATGTTTACATCACATACATATATTACCCGTACACACACATACAGAATTTACTCGCCAAAATGCAGGGCACCATCAGTTCTGGATACGGATTGAGCATTTTTTCAATATGGATGACTGAGGTCATCTGCGAGCATAATGCTGTCACCTATCAGAATTTTTTCAAACTAATTTTCCGGAGAATATCATCTGGAATACAAGATTTCTAATTATTTCTAAATTATTCAATTTTATACTATGAATTGATTTTTTTAACATTCAGACAGGTGGCAAGGACTGACGCAAACACGAATTTTGGGCGAAAAACGTATAAAAATGAAATAATTAGTGATTTTTCATCTGAATGATGTGGCCGCCATCTTGAAATTTAAGCGCGGTAAGTCAATTCATAATTTTTTCATTATTCTTTCTAATTTTTTTAATAAAAATATTCACTATATACAAAAAATTGTTGTTTACGTCAGTCCGGCATTAATTCCTCTGTAATTTGGTACCTAATTTTATAGAAATAATTGTAAATTGGCGAAGAAATTAGAAATTTCCCGATCCCATGTATTTGGATAGGGGGAATCAGTCGCCTTTCTGACTTCAGCCCAGCCTTAAAAGAAGGAGCAAGTTTCTTTATTTTCTATACTTTTTGTTGAAGGAAGTCACTGTGTGGCGCCACTTTCCAAAAAACGGAGGTGAGCTCTACGGGCATCCGTATATAAGTACCGTGCGCTAACCAATTGCGCCACTGGAGCTATACAATAGAATATCCCGACTAAAAATTTTTCAAACCTTAATTTAAATAATAACAAGAAAATTTAAGTAATAATAATTATAATTGAATTATAAACTTAAGTTTATAATCACTATAATTAAACTAACATTTATAGTCATGACTATTAATGTGCACGATTATTTCATGATGACTGAAAGAGTAAGTTTAAATTATTATTATTATTTAAATTCAGGTTTAAAAATGTTTTAGTGCGGATAGTCTATTGTTGTAAGGACTATCTAAAAGATTATTTAATCATGAACTTTCTAAATTAATTTAGATGTTGAATCTCTATTTGAAAAAAAAACTACTCCATCGATAATTTCTCGGATGGTATCAAAGTTTTTGATGGACCAGGCATTAATGACGCGGAGTGTACCCTGGCTAATTCAGCCGACCCCGTATCTTATGAGCAAGTATCGACAGCGGAAATGATTTTTATTCATATTGAGTTCCCAATCTCGAATTTTTAAGTTTAAGATAAACTGTAAAAATTATAAAATTTGCAATTATATTCCAAGTATGATGTTTCAGAGATGGTCGTTCAAACATGATAATAGAAAATTGAAATTTCTTAATTTTCAAAAAAATTTTTGATAATCATTGTTATTTTTTACAAACCTTTGTACCTTTTTAATGATAAAGCAAATTAGTTTACATCCTAAAACGTCATATTTGGAATATGATTACGAATTTTATAGTTTTTTTGATTTAGCCAAAACTTCAAAAATGTAAGATTGGAAACTCAATATGAATAAAAATCATTTCCACCGTCGATAATTGCTCACAAGATACAAACCAGGCATTAATGCTCCTGAGTATAAAATAGGTACCACTGAATGATTTCATGGAGAGGAAATGATGCGTCAGATATGAGCGCATTTCTGCCGTAAAAATTTACCTGCAGCTTGGCGACAGAAACTTACATCAGACTATTTTACAGATGCTTACGTGTAGTTCCGACTGTAGACTTACTATTATCTTTTGCTAAGAACGGAAACAGACGTACGTATATCTGGCGTTAGTATCTTTTCGATTTCTAACGTTAGTCTTCAGTAAGTCTGACGTAGAATTGGCTACTAGGAATTTTACCAGGGTGCTAACAGTCAGCTCGTCTCTGAGTATACTACTTTGAAATAATTAACAAAAATAGGTAGTTATAATCCAATTACAACAAATTGAAAAATTTTCAGTTGATTAGGAAAAGAACTAAAACAATTACTAAGTTCAATCAAAAGACAGTAGTTAAATTGCCGTGACTAGTTTTACTTAACAAACTGAGCGTTTGATCGATCAAATGATGTAAATACAAAGATATTGCAAACGACAAGAACAGTTCTCTATAAGCTTCTAGAACAGGTTGAAAACTTTATGTCGTGAAAAGTGACCAAAAAGTAAATAATATTGATAAACTAAACAAACATGGTCGTACCATAATGTCATCATTGATGCATCGAAGAGAATATTATATTTTTAAGTCGATCTCAGGTATGAATTGGTACACATATGGTATGCATACACTGGATATAGGTACATAAGCTTCACGACAAAAAGTAAATTGAAAATTTGAATGGATGACTTCCGGTCAACGAACGTGCAAAAATTGGCATGTTCTGAGATATGTAAAGAACATGTATGTACATTTTTAGATCGATTGAAGTAATTATGTGAGAGACATAAATTTTTTTTTCTCAAATAATCAATTATTTTTACCTGTTTTCTTTTTTTCATAATTTGAATGGATAACTTCCGGTCATCACGAACGTGCGAAAATTGGCATACATGTTCTTAGAGATGTAAAGAACATGTATGTACAGTTTCAGCTTGATTGAGGTAATTATGCGGGAGATATAAATTTTTTCTCTCCCACATAATTTTTTTTTGCGCTAAAAAATTAGAAAAAAGTACCCAAAAAAGCTAGATCGATAGGAAATTTAATTCACTATCTGTTTATATATATAATTGTGTATAAAATCGGGTCGCGATTTACTCCCCCCTCTATGCGTGCCAAATATTTTTAACCCACACCATCGTGTTCCTCGCAAAATTTCCGATCTAGTCATCTATAAATCATTACTTTGGTTGCAGCGAACCAACATTATCCCATTTCCCTTATTTAACTGGACTAATTGTATTTATTCAAAAATGGATTATTAATTCATTCATTCAAAGAAATGGATGATGTGTCATTGATAATCTACCATCAACTAACTCATAACGTTATTATATTATAAGAATCCAAGGGAACTACCTTAGACTCCAGACAGAAATCTACTTCCCCCACTCTAACTGTAAAATACTCGACAGGTGTAACTTCGAATAACGTTAGACGGACTTGCAGCAGTAGGATTCTTTTATTGAAGACTGAAATCAGACAGTTGTCTACTCATCTTTTTTAAAAATTTTTATCATTATTTTTTTTTATTGTTTGATTCAAATTTCAACGATAGTAAAAAATGGACTTTCTTATTTTAAATTTGTATTGATAGATAAATGTAAATTCTATTCCTAGTGGTATTAAATAACAATAATAATAGAAAAAAACATAAATCAAGCTGGATCGAATAATAGAAATGGTGTTTTTTGAAAAGAAAAATAAAAGTGAAAATTGTCGTCTTCTTGCAAGTATTGACAAATTAAATAATAGTGAAAAAAATCATGTGGAAAATGGTAAATACTTTTTGTTTTATCAATCACATTAATGACGAAAATTATTTATAAATTTTTAAAAAATGATAAGTTAAAAAAGTTTTCCACTAGAGAGGCTATTATTAAAACAACCAAATTAATTATGTTTTATAATTTAAAAAAAGTAATTAGTCAATATGCTTCGAACAAGGGCGAAAATTGAAAGTTAGTTGAAAATTAACCGAATTTGTTCATTAAGGTGTTTTTAGTGACGGCAGGGAAATCAATATAAATTTCTATCGACATGGCAAAATGTGCTTTTTTGTTTATAAAAAATAGCTTTATGAAAAACATGCATTATGGCAAATTCTATCGAATTTGCATATTATTTTTATCGTGAAAAGTAATGACAATTAATCAATGCCAAGTTTGTTTACATATTTGGCATAAATATCACTTCTGATTAAAAAAAAAAATAACTTCAAAAAGTTTATTTGTTGATGAGCTACGATCAATTGTTTAACAAACAGTGGTACTCTTGATATAATCAATTAAATATCACGAGAATCATCAGTTGTAGAAAGTTGAGACTGGTCTCATTGTTGATTGGACTAGATTGTATTTTTCATTAATGAAAATAAATAAGATAATTAATATGATCAGTTGTTATAAACTAGTGATGTTGAATAATATCGTTGATTTGTCTATTGTTTTTTTTTATTATCTTTAATTAATTGTAAGCTACTTATTACATAATTTAGCAACCTTTCAACAACTGTGACCTAAAATCACAGATAATAATTATGTTGATAATTAGTGTTTGTTTTTCTACAAATCTTGCAAATAGAAAGTCAACTATACATCGATTAGTTGAAGAAAGTATATAAGTAATTAATATTAACTAAAGAATTGAAAAGGAAAATTAATGAACTACAATTTCAGGGTCATTAAAGAGTTGAATACTAGATTCCATAATTTCACATTATTATTGTAATTTTTATCGTGCATTAGATGTCACTTAGTGTGATTTTAGATTTTTCCTCTTTAATCTTTTTCAACAATTTTTTATAAATACTAACCAAAATAGTTGTGTCTACCCTTTTTTTTTTGTTTTTTCAATTATTATTCTGAGATAACTTTTCAAACTTTAAAAATATAACATAGTTTCCTTCTTTGCCTACTTGATATTTTTTCATGTTAACGAATCGAAGCAGTATCAAGTTTTAAAATAAATATAGACGAAAAGTGAGTAGAGTTTATTCTTGGGAAAAAGTTTGCATTCATTTCACATTTTTTCAATCTCATAGGTAAATAATATTAATGGTTTAAATGTTTTTCATACTTTTCAATTAAGTATTTTTTTTTAAACTACAATATATTTTCAGTCAATATAATCCAATTAAGTTTTAATAATAATAATTAACTATTATTTAAAGAAAAAAGGATATCAAAAGATATCTTTAATTATTCAAACACTTGGTTATTGGAATGTAAAGAAAATACTTAATCTAATGTTAATCTTTTATATTGTAACAAATTCATTTAATACGGACCAGATAAACGTTTCTCAATAAATGGCTACTAAGACATTGTTTCAGTTAAGTTCATATGGTTGTAATTGCGAAATTATTGGGTAAAACAAAACTGGAAAAATCTTATTTCATCCTAAAAATAAATTTATCAAGCAAAGGTTCCGAATTTTCGTTAATCCATTCAATTTACAATATGGGTTCAATAGGTAAGGCAAAAACTTTTTTCCATGTATTTCATCTATTCTGATGAAAAAAACGAATCCATTGAATAACATTGTGAACATAAAAATTTACCTATGAAATATTGAAACCAGTTATTATTGATCGAAATAACCACACCCCACTAGATTTCACCCCTACAAGTGTACTTGACGCCATTGCGCACCCTCTTCCACTCCCACTATTCATTCTAAGAACACATCGTATACAAACGCATTGCTGAATACATATACATAGTGCATATATATGTACGCCTAGGTACAGTGGATGTAATCGAAAATTGTGTCATGATTGTTTCAGCTGCCTTCATGCATGTAAGGGAAAATCTCGAGGAACTTGGACGAGTGGCAGACGATACTGATCTTGTTTTTCTCAAAGGATTATTGGAAAGTCCTATTGTGAATTCCCTTGTTAAGGTAAGTCATTTTTAACAAAATGTTTTCTTTAATTTATTCGATTATAACTATAGTGATTAATGAAATTTTGAACATAATTAAATCAGGTCTTTTTAAAGGAAGGATATACTTAGTACTTTCATTGCAATTTGTCGAAATTAAATGAGATTTAATTTGTCATCTACTAAGTAAAGTTGTGAAATCAGAATTGTTCAGCATATTTCAAAATTTTAGAGAATAGTTTTAAAACTTGAAAAATTGAAATTATCTTAAAAACTATGGAAAAAGTTTCAAATAAAAGTAGAAATTAAAATTTTACTTACAAGATATCCTCAAACCTGTTACCTTATCTTTTATAATTCAGCCAAAAAACGGAAATACAGATAGCGGAATCGATTTTCTAACATTTCCTCATATTTATTCTTACTTTGCAGTTAAACTGAAGGAGATATATATTAGAGTATGATTTCTTTTTTTATGTAAAATTAAAAGATTTTTAATTTTTATTCAAATTTTTTTTTGTATCTTCCATAGTTTACAAGATAATTTTATGAATAATGAATAGAATTAACTTAATCATTTTGCTAATAATACATTTTTTTAAAATTACAACTTATCTTGATGACATTAATTTTTTTATTTTTTCTAATAGAAAAATAACAACATAAAAAGACTCATATGTGTCTTCTGACTTATTGCGAACATGACAACAATAAAGAGAAATAACGTGTGAGAGAAGAGATAAAATTAATTATTATTAAAATTCTTTGAATGGTATAGAGAAATTTTCTTTATATATTTCACCATCAACATGTTCTGCAAATAGGATTTATTGTAAATTTTTTCAGCAAAAAAAAAATCAATTCAATCTTAATCAATAATAATTTAATTAAACTGTTTAATTTTATTTCCACGATTACCAATTAATGTAGAATTTGATAATTTTATTCTATTTTTTAATGATTATTTAGTAATTGATATTTCTATAACCAAATAAGCCATTACAAAATTAATTGATAAGATTACAAAAAAAATATTATTATGTTACGAACTTTGACGACCACTGAATCAGAAGAATTAATTTAAAAAAGGCCCTCGATAATCTAGACACGGCACTGGCTTTAATATAACCGATTGTTGCATACCACGAGTGCGCTACGATCCCCCACCTGTTCTCAAAAGCCACTGACCACGGGAAATTGTAGAATGAAAGAGAAGAGGTAGTTAGGCGCGGCTTTGTGAGTCTTCGTGACACTTCGTGACTTTCGTTAACTACTTCAAGTCTACTTTTAATGGGTTTTTTTTTATAAATTTAAGCCAAATTGACTTCTGGTACATGTGAGTTCTAAGTAAAATACGTTATCAAATCAATTTCGTAGTCATCTTTGGATTATTCTTGGAAAAAACGTTTCTCTAAGTCTCAATGTGTATTACATGAGAATATTGTACATATGTGGGAGTGTCCAACTGACACGAGAGAGCTATAAATATATTTTTTATAAACTTAAACAGCAAATTGTTGGATAATTATTCTATTTTATCATTGTTTTCGTATCAAAAAATACCAAGAGATTCAGGCCTTCATCGTCAAGAGTATTTAGTTTAAATTTTCATCATTTTACTGTCTTATTTATCATCTAATGTTTGATATATTTTTTTTTCAGTTTAAAAGGTATTAATAGCAACGACTTATATAATATAATATATCAGAAAATCATATTATAGGAATTAGCTTTTTGATTAAAACTGTCGTAATTTTTAAGAAGTGATTTATCGATCTAAAAAATAATATTTGCAAAAATTTTACTTATGGAAAAAATTTATTTTCATTGCAGTTCTTTATTGTTATTAGAAGTTTTGAATGTATTTCATTTTTTCAAATTCAACGATTGAGGTGAAGAAAAAACAAAGAAAAGCATCAAAACGTTATTACGAAATATTCGAAAGTGATGAATAAGAACAATATTAAAAAAAGTCTCGAAATGTCAATGAAATCGTTTTTTTATGACTCCAAAACAATCAAGATTATTATTATATCCATCGATTTTTAGACATAAAACAAAACTTTCAACTTATTTGTGTAATTTGTTGTTTTTTTTCAGCTCCAAGAAAGACTAGAAGAGCCACCGAAATTGGTAGATCCAATTTATTTTGAGGTTTGTGACCTTACGAATGAAATAACACACACATTTGAGAAGTCAAAAGATACGAACGCCCGACAGCTTTCAAAATTACTGAAGGGTTCACACTTGAAAGCACTTTTGGAAACGCATGACGCAGTAATTAAAGGTCGTAAAACTCCAGCAAAAACTTGTACATTTTTATCAACAATGCCGACTGATGAAAGAACACAAACGGTGCGAGTTGTTGGACTCAGGCGGCAAGCAAATGAACCTCTGGTGCGTTAATTTACATACATAGTAGATCATCCATTGGAACCGAGAAATCCGGATTTTTCTACATGGCTAAAAATTTTAGGAATAATTTTGGAAGTGTTAAAAGTAATTAGTAATCATCAAAATGTTATCCCAATCCCAGGAAAGGGATCAGACAACCTAGACAATTAATGTTCGTTTCAGTTTTTTGTGATTATTTCATAAACTATGAAAGATACAAAAGAAAATTTCGTACAAACGATTAAGATCTTGTGATTTTACACAAAAAATATCGAAGACTTTTATATCTATCTGTTATTGTTCATTAGCTGTAAAATGGCATTAAAGGTGAAGCAGCGTTTTTCTATATTGAACATTTTTTTCCATTTTTTCAAATCTTACAGTTAAACTCTAAAAGATGCGGAAAAAAGTTTTGGATAAAAAATAAAGATCTGACTTTAAATATTCAATGAAGAAGATGATTACGCTTTAATCTCTATCTCACTTAGTTTAGCTATAAACGATAATAAAGATGAAAAATGGTGAAAAATGCAGTCTCTCATCTTTATTGTCGTTTTGTGACTAAACCATGTGAGATGGGAATTAAAGAGTAACGGCCATTTTCATGTAAAATTGCAGGCTCTACAATTTTTATTTAAAATTTTTTCCCATATCTTTCATAGTTTCTGAAATAATCTGAATAAACTGGGTTTAGGTTAATTTGTTAGTCTCTGTAGTCTTCTGTCTTACCAACGATTAAAGCACTTTTTTACGGCCATGTTTCAGCTTCAATTTGACTATTATTCAATAAAAATTTTTTAATAAAGTAAAATTATGGAAAATATAATTTTTCAGGGTTTAACTGTTCAAATTGATGAGTCTGGTAATCTCATCATTGCAAGGATACTTGGAGGCAGCTCTGTGTCTCGTCAAGGTCTTCTGAAATCTGGTGAAGTGATTATGGAAGTCAATGGAAAGTCAGTTCGTTCTCCAGATCAACTTCAACAAGAAATTCAAGCAGCTAAAGAAAATCTTACATTAAAAGTTGCATCTGGTATTTCCAATGATAGTAATAAGCCTATAAAATCAACAGTAAGTGAAAAGAGTTAATTTAATAACAATATACAGTAGTTTCAAAATTTTTGATCCATTTATAAAAATAAAATGACAACTTTAAAGTTGTACAATCGATAATTTGTTCGTCAATTGTTTAATAATCAATAATGTAATTTTATAATTCTAATTCGACTGATTGAACGTTCTTGAGTTGGTCTTTGAATATTGATTATTAACTTAAGAGAATCATGTCAGTCATTATTTTTTTGCTAGTGTTATATGAGAGCACTCTTCGACTACAATCCGACAGATGATACACTTTTGCCTTGTCGAGAAATCGGCCTTTCTTTCCAAAAAGGTGACATTCTTCAGATTGTCGACCAAGCAGATCCAAATTGGTGGCAAGCTCGAAAAGTCGAAGGTGAAGGTTTAAGTTCACCAGGATTAATTCCTTCGTTAGAACTTGAAGAACGGAGAAAAGCTTTCGTACCACCTGAAGCCGATTTTGTTCACAAAATTGGAATATGCGGAACTCGGGTTTCACGCAAAAAAAAAAGAAAAATGTATGAATCGAAGGCGAATGGAGAATTCGATAGTGCGGAACTTTTGTTATATGAAGAAGTTGCAAGAATGCCACCATTTAGACGTAAGACTTTAGCTTTGGTGGGGCCAAGAGGTGTAGGACGACGGACGCTAAAAAATCGACTTATTAATAGTGATCCCGAAAAGTTTGGAACCATTGTTCCTTGTAAGTATGAAATTTTATACGATTAAAAGTCGCAATCAAATGACAATGATTAATTTTTCACAATCGCGAAACGAACTAATGAATTGTGATTTATCGATATTTTAAAACATCAATGTTAATTTCTCAAACTTTTATTATAAAAAAATTATTATAAAAAAAAATGTCAAAGTTGCATAACTGTTTGATAATCGATTTGACCAATATCGATTGTTATATAATTTATATATTGATTATTATACAGTCGCTTATTTAATGTGAAAAAATTGAAATAGTAAAATCTGTTAAATAAAGAATCTCGATACGATGCATCGATTCGATTAATATCGATTGATTACTTAATGTACGATTTGTACCTTTATAACTATTCGTTTTTATTATTAAACGTTGAATAAAATAAATTTTGACGAGAAATTTTTATAGATACATCAAGACCACCGAGAGTACTCGAAGAAAATGGTAAAAGCTATTGGTTCACTGATCGAGAAACAATGGAAGATGATATAAAACAACATCGATATTTGGAATTTGGTGAACACGGTGGTCATCTGTACGGAACAAAATTAGATTCTATCAGGGAGTTGATTCGTGCTGGAAAAATGTGTGTCTTAGATTGTAGTCCAGGTGCTCTCAAGACTTTACATAACAGTACCGAGTTCATGCCTTATGTCATTTTTATCGCTGCGCCTGGAATGGAGCAGCTAAAGGTTCTTTATGATGTTGGAAGATCTACAGGTGCCAGCAGTCGCAATCTAACGGTAATTTATTGATATCTGGTATTTTATTCTTGTAAATTATAGTTTATTTATTAAATATCTGAAATGAAATATTATTTCAACAGATTGGTACTCAAACAATTGTTCAATATTTATTTATGCTCGACATTGTAGAAAGTTATTCAAATCATTTTATAAAGCATTTGAAGATATTTTTGTAACGATTGCGTTGAAAGTTCAGCTTTTAAGGATTAGCTGTCATGACTGCACGAGTACAAAAAATAATTCATAATTTTAGTGTTCTGTGATAGTTTATCTCACATCTAGCATAAATTACTGTCATCATATCAATAAATGATCTAGTGTTTTTAGTTATTTTGTCAAGAGAAATTAAAAATCGTTTCCTTCTAAAAAATTCTTAAACAATCAAAGACATGATTCCCTACAGTTATTACCTACTTTAAATTTTATTAATGAAAGTTAATACTCGAATAACTAAAATCTGGTCGAGTATAAATTTTAATAATGAAAATTGATAAGCATTAATATGTTAGTATATTGAACTTTTGCATGCTTATGTTACACATATATTTTTAAAATTTTGTTATGCTATTTGAAAATTGATTTTGTATATGTTTGATGTTGATTTTTGGTAGTTTGATCGCCAAAGCTCCATAAGATACAGTTCAAGACGTGCTAGGACCTTAGAATCGCTTGCATCATTATATGAGGTTTGTATTTGCACGTTTACATTATCTTATATATTACTTTGTATTTGAAATATTTTATTACATTGTCTAAGAAAAAAATTATTTAACCCTTTGAGTCACAGTGATACTGCCAGAGCACCACCTATTTAAACCGCTGTCAAAAATGTTTTACTGCATATTTTGGTCTGAATATTTGTGTACGAGGGTTTTCAGGTTCTCAACGATTCAATTGCACAAAATTTAGGCCACCATTTTGGATTCGCCATCTTGAATTTTGCAAATCTAAGCTCATATTTGTGATCAGCATCCCCAAAAACCTCTGTATACTAATTTTAGTGAAATTTGATAGAAGTTCACAAATTTGGTCCGCCATATTGGATTTGAAAATTATAAAAATATAACCTCCGATTCGTGATCAGCGACCCCAAAAATCACCGAGTACAAAATTTCAGGTCAAAATATGCAGTAGGAAAAAGCATGACTCAAAGAGGTGAATATTTCATAGCGGAAGATATTAGAAATTCTTCATTAAATTGTTAAAAATAATGAACAATAGTAAAGACATTTATTTTATCACGAGTTAAATTCCAATAATAATAAAAATTATAAATTTTGGGTATTTTTATTTTCATCATCTATTTACAGCCAAACTATTAGAAATAGTAAATAAAGTCTAAGAAACTTTTTTATGTAAAATGTAAAGATTTTCAATTTTTTTGAAAAAATTTTTTTTCGTATCACCTATTGTTTACAAAATAATCACAAAAAACTTCGATGAAAACCGTTTCTTTAGCTATCTTATCCTTTATCGTGAAATATGAGTACGATTTTAAACATTAATAATTATTTCTACCAAATCTAGAAATAATTCCTGATATTTTTAATCATCCAGGAAAATCCTGATGTTACTTCAATGTCTCGACTGGATTATGTGGATTTACAAGTAGATAAGACCCACAATAATTTGTTCGAAATCTATTCAGTGTGCCTTCAAGTCATTGATAACTATTGTATTTGATTATTATCAAATAACTACTGAATATCTATTTCTTTTGAATTTATAGATAACATTGTCAATTGAAGAATAAAAAAAAATTTTTCTACTTATATTTTCCTCATTCACACAATTTCTATCTTTTTCAGGAAGATGATTTACGATCAACTTTAGAAGAGTCCGCAGCCTTACAACGAGCTTATGAAAAATACATCGACATGGTAATAGTAAATGAAGATTTTGACAATACATTCAGACAAGTGGTAGCAGCATTAGATGCTCTTGCTACTGAACATCAATGGGTACCTGTTAATTGGATTTATTAAACTAAAAAATTATTTTTTCTGACATATTACTCATCAATCATGAATGAGTCTCGAGAATATTCTGAATTGATTAATTTGATCATTAAATTCTATCAAAGTTGTTTTATTTTAATCCACAAAAATTTACTTAAAAATCAAATAATTTTAACAAACTGATTTCTTTATCATTTATTAGAAACGACAGAAATTAAGTTAATGATATAAAATAATTATTAATCATTAAATATAAATAAAACGTATTCTTAAGAGCCGTCCATTTGAATTTAAGGATTAACATTAATAAAACATTGTTCTTGTTTTCCGTAAGAAATTAATTTACGATGCAATAAGTATTTAGATTGTTTTATATTTGCTTAGATTACTTTTTTGTAGATTTATTATGTATCAACTAAGCTTATTGACTACCTTATTATGTATCGAATTAACAATATTATTGTACCAATAATAAGAAAAACGGTAACTCTAGCAGCAGATGGAAAAGATATAAAAGTAATTATTATAAATTAAATACTAAGTTAGCTGTTAAATCTATTGCGTGTGCTACGAGGTGATATATTGTTGTAAAAACTTGGAAAATTGTGATGATAAATGTGTTTTGTATCTTAGTCACTTGACAAGTGACTTTAATGTACAAAGTTATTATAAAATATACATTTATATTATTGAATGAAAGTAGATGTATCTCCGATTTCAAAGACCATATTTCTATTTTATTATAAGATAATATAATAGATTAATTATAAATTGAATCAATTTATTTTTGTTATTATTAATCGTATTATAATAGTTCGAAGAATATTTCGTCAACATAAGTGCAGGATTTTATACGAACAGTCTAGTTCATGAATGCTTTCGTTGTGATCAATAGATAACAACCCATGTATTGATTCACACGGGTAGGGAGAAGGATATCCGTCCTCAAATTAATGTCGCTCAAGAGCAATTCTCTCTTCAATTGAGGTATTTCACACACGGAGAGAAAAAATTTTTGTCAGTAAAAAATAGTTTTATTTTGTTATTTTTCAATAAACCCATACTATTTTTGTTGAAATTGATGAGAAAGTAGAGTGTAGCATAGTAATTTGTCAGGTCTTTGATTCTTAGTTTATTAGTTGATTCTCTCTCGCATGCGTTAGTACATTTATTAATGATGTTATGTATTTTTGCTCTTTAAAGGTGTCAATATGTAAACCATATGCTTAACTTTAGAAACTTTAAGTTCCTTTTTTTAGTCCTAGCCTTTCGACCAATAGACAGGAATGAGGGGATCTTCAATAGAGAAAGTGAAAATGTGTGATTTACATAAAAACAATAATAAAATTTATTGAATGAAAATTATTGAAAAATGATAACAACAATTTAAACGTTACCAACAGATGATTTCTTTTACTCTGGTCGAGATGAATTACAATGAATTGGTCCTTAGTCAATGCTCCAGTCAGCGCAATATTCACTTTGACTCGCGAATCAATTTAAATATCAAATTGAAAAATAATTTGACGATCAAAAAAACTTCATACAAAAATTTACAAACATTGAACGATACGCCTAATTCTTGGCGTATAAGGTCTGTGAGTATTTAAGTGATCCATCACACTTTGAATACGAGAAGCACCCTGTCGAGCCTTTTTGATTTTTTTTGCAATCTGTTCGATGCGTCTTTTCAGGCTTAATTCAGGATTGACATGTGTTCGTCTGCCCTGAGTAAACCCTCGAGCCACATCATAGTCTGCATTATTCAGAGCAAAAAGGTCTACACCATCTGGTACCCGATGGTCGAGATCTTCGTTAGCACTAGCTAGATGTTCTGCAGAGAGGTTAATTTTCTCCGATGCAATAAATTTCTCTATCCAGTTGTAAATGTTCCGGTAATTTATCCCAAATGTCGTCGATGTATTCTGGAACAATCTTCAAGAAAAAATACTTCTGAAGACAAGCAATATCTTCGCTTGACATTTTTGTTATATTTTTAATAAACAATACAATTTAAATGACTTTTCAAATGGGGTTTTTTCATGGAAATTCACCATATACCATTCTATTAGAATTTTTACATTCTTTTCTGCACATTGTTTATTTTCTCCATTATGCACCCTACAATCTTTTAGATGATCCATATTCAGAGCATAAAGCAAAGGACATTTAAGCTCATCCAAATTGATTACAACTTTTGAGCTGTCAATTAAACTTTCTAACCATTTTTTCTTTTCATCTCCTTCCACGTAAATACGGTTTCAATCTTTGACAAGTACACGAAGAATATATGAAAGTTCCTCTTATTCTATTGTTCCAGATTTCCATGGAATGCCATGATAATTACGTATCAGCCACGAATTTATGCGTTCATATTCTTCAGGTAAATATTCCCAGTGATATGGCGGTTTGAAAATTAATACTGAAATGTCTTCCATACCATCACTATTATTTTGGATTGTAATAGTCGCCAATTCTTTCACTAAAAACCGATTATTTAGCTGCTTAAAACCTTGAACATCCAATATCATTTCCATGATGCACGTAAAATTTGTACACATGCCGAAAATGTAAAACCCAGCTGAATAGTTTTACGGTAAATCATCTATTTATATGTTCAGCCGCACTTATTGAAATTATAGCATCTAATTTTTTTGTTTGATTACTACAACGATTGGCTATAAATTGTATTTTGTTGGATACATTATATGTAATTTTTGTTAGTCTGAAATGTTCAGCAAGAATGATGAAACATCATGCCCCCCCCTCTCCTCCTTAAGATATTTCTTGGAAAATCGGGTAAGAATTTACATGATCTCTGGGCTGATTCTCAGCCTTGGCATGTTCCGAAAATTTTTAGCGAGGGATGATGAAACATTATGCATTGAATTTTTCATGGAAAATCCAGCAAAAAAATCACATGATCTCAGGGCTGATTCACAGCCTTGACATGTTCTGGAAGTTTTTAGCGGAGAGGATGAAACATCATGTAAACGTTTTATACGCATGTTTTGATTTATGATTGCATAAAAATTGAAACATTCTGGAATCTTTGTTTGGAGGAGATGAATTGAATTTATACCTATGCAACTCATGTTTAAAATCACTGATCAATTAAAACTGTAAGAAATACTTCGTGATACGTAATTCAAACAGTAAGAATGGATTTATCAAGAGAAAATAAAATTGCCAAGTGTGAGACATACTTACCAATCAAGAAGATGGATACATTAGAACCCTCTAAAACGTTCAAAATTACTGGTCTAAAATAACTTAAAACTGTGTACGGGATAAAAGTTGTGGCAACAGTTAAAAATAGCTACATGATATTTTTACCTCCAAGAACGGTGAAAATTTTGGAAAATCATAAAGAATTTGAAAAATTGGTTGAGTTGGCCGCTGACAACAGATTATCATTGTTGTATCACGGTGGAGCTAATAATTCGTTTGAATTCACAGTTGATGAAATGTAAATCTTACAATAATCAATGTAATCAATAAATTTACAGTAAATAGAAAAATTTAAAATTATTGTTCTTTTAATTTAAATATTTCCTCTTCTTACATTTAAAGAAAATAGTTATTTAATATAAGTTAAATTTGGTACTTGATCTTAGAAAATGACACAATCTGATATTCTCGAACTTTCGAGAAATTTTTTTTGGATTATGACAGTCATTACAAGGTCATCTAAATCCTATATAAATCTAATTGAGCACGCTTTTTCATCATTGTAATTCTGAAGTTTGCCTAGTATAGTCAAAAAAAATGAGTGCACTAAACTATTATTCTGATTTAATTAAAATGATGGAGGAGGCTTATGCTCGTCTACCACCTTTGAATCATGAATCTAGTAGAATCATTGATAAGTGGGTGCGAATTAGTGCTAAAAATATTATTCCTTTAAACAGACATTTGCAATTGAGTGGTTTATCGGTTGGTGAAAAACTACGAACTCAATCGATATTAGCAACACTCGCAACATTACATGAAAAGTTTATTAATCATTCAATCGTTGGAGGAAGCCTTCAATCAATAGAACAATTGATTCAACGGAAAGATTTAGAAAATATTTGTCAGAATCGAATTCGCACTAGTGTTGTCATCAACTTGCAACATTTAAATTTACAAGACTTCTTATTGGACGTTGAAAAGCTGATTAGTGAAAAGTTTACAGATATAGTAACAAGTGAGGGAAATTTAAGAGTGAACTTTGTCCTTGCTTGTAAATTCAGTAATCAAACAAATAATAGAACAGTTGTAGAAATTAATGTTAAAAATGAAGCAATTTTTCCGTCAACAGACATAAAAAAACATTTCCTGGAAAATGTTGTTGACAAACTACTAACGAAAGTCGAGGATTTTCAAGAACGAGATTCTGGTTAGTCAATTGTAGAAATAAAATATCTGCAAGTCAATATCAATCGTTATCAACCTTTATCAGCTCGGCAGTCTACATTTGTACCTCTACCAAAATTTATACAAAAAAAAAGCAGCATTAAATATTAAAAATAATAATGAATGCTGTTTTTTTGGGCAGTTACTGCAGCACTTCATCCAGCTGAAGGTATTAACTGTCCTATCACTCTACATGATGTCCCAAAATTCGAAGATCTTAACAATCTAGCAATAAATGTGTACGGTTTGGATGACGATTGTAAAATTATTTCATTATATTTAAGTAAACATTATAAAATAGATGAACCATGAATTCATCTTTTGATGGTTCAGAGTCGAGTTGAAATAGATGATAAAGAAAACATAAACTCAATTTTTCATTTTTGTCTTATAAAGGATCTTTCAAGATTAGTTGGAAATCAAATTTCTAAGCATAACGGTAGAGTAATTTTATGTAATCGATGTCTCAACCATTTCCAGGTTAAAACTTCATTCGAAAAATATCAAAAAGACTGTATCAATATGAACAATACGCGAATTTCACTTCCTGAAAAAGGTGTTAAAATAAAATTTAAAAATTTTCATTTCAAAGACCTTGTCCCATTTGCTGTCTATGCCGATCTTGAGAGTATTCTTGAACGTGATAATGAAGGTAATCAAAAGCATATTCCATATAGTGTAGCCTATTATATGCACTGTACGTATGACAATTCAAAATGTCAATTTAATCTAAAACTGTGATGTTAATTGTATAAACTGGTTCATGACTGAATTAAAAAAAAGCTGAAACTGTCAAAATTTACCTAGAAAACGTAGTACCAATGAAACCATTAACATCCCAACAACTAAACGATTTTTGTAATGCAAAAATCTGTCACATTTGTGATGAATCATTTTTACATGATGAAACGAAAGTACATGATCACTGTCATTTTACATGTAATTATCGAGACGCTGCTCATGTTAATTGTAATTTAAATTATTAAAATTCATGCATAATTCCAGTCATTTTTCATAATCTCTCAGAATATGACTCACAGTTTTTTATTAAATCATTGGCTACATCATTTAAAGGTTATATGGAATTATTACCTGTCAATAAAGGAAAATACATAGCGTTTACAAAAACAGTTGATCAGAAAATTTCCCACGAAAAAAGAAAAAAGAAATAGTTGTTAAATTACGATTTATTGATTCTTTCCGATTCATGAGCAATAGTATTGAGAAACTTGCATCATTTTTAGATAATAACGCAAAATCAATTACCCAAAGTTTCTATTCCGAGCCAGATAAATTGAATA